AATTGAGTAGAGAATTAAGGACCAACTTAACTCCTAATCACTATTATCTCCAGAAACCCCAGAATGTTTCTCCAGACTCACCTGCCATCCTATACAGAAACCATTGCAAGCTAATGCCCTCAGTTATGTCATTCATTCCATCTTTAAAGTTTCATGGCTACCTCTTTCCCTGATGTCCTCTAACACAGTCAGCCCTCACTACCATCATACACCTTAAGTACCCCAGACAGAGAGTACTGCATGCCTTTTCCAATAGAGCCTGGTACTTCTCCAAATATGAAGAGTACCCAGCAAAACACTTGCTTATTTCTTTGTTAATCTTAAATGAGCATGGATCTACAAAAGAAATGTTATGGTAGTCTAAATGAGTGCGACATCTTGGTTGGTTTACATTTCAAACTTTATTTCTCCCTTTAAATTATATGTGTTCAATAAGTCATACAATCCTGAATTTTAGTGCTGATAGTATTTTTCAAATCCTTAAGCCATGGGATGCAAAATTTGAAAACAAAAATATAACAACCATATTCTTATTTCTGTCTTATTTTGTTTTGTGTTATTTGTATCCACAAAATTCTCTCAAGTAAGCTATTAAAAATGATTAGAAACATGTTTTAAAATTACAGCTTAAACTAATTTTAAAACTGATACCAAATGTCAGCATACCGTAGGACTGACATAGAAATCACTTCACAAAAGTCAATAAAAATTCCTGAAGATGTTAGGAGATTCTTGTACAATTAAATCAATGAACTCGGAAGGAATTTTTTCCCTCAAGCCCATATGGTATGAGAGAGATTTGTTTCTCAAAAAGTAATAATAAGCATTTTCTTCATGAACATAAAATAGACTTTCTGCATTTTAAAAATGTACCAGAAATCTACTCTGGCTTTTGTTCTTAATCTTGCTACATGTGACATAAAAGTAATCCCATGAATAATCATGGAGATTCCTTGACAACATTTGGGAAAATAAAGTCAGCTGACACTTCACACTATTTTTTCTTGTTCTCAAATGTAGTATATCAAAACAGCAATGAGGGGACCCAGACAACTTCCATTAATTTTGTGGCTGTCAGATTCTTCTAAACCTTACTTTATGGTATATGAGAATGGCGTTTTTAGAGTTTTAGAATTTTTTTTTTTTTTTTGCAATCAGTACCCATGGTGCAGCCTCACAAAATGCTACCTGTAATTTGCTAAAATACCTATTACCCTGGACGTTTTGGTTAACCATTATAGTCATTCTTTAAATTTTTGTATCTTTTTCCACAGGGAAGAAATATGGTCCTATACAAACCTAATGCCAAGAAAAACAGAAACTAGTGCTCATTAAAATAGCCACTCATTGCTAAATTCTGCTTTGGAGATGTCAGAGCAACACCCACCATGATGTCTTTGATGCCACAGTAAATCATTACAACCATCTTCCAGCTATTTGCAGTGTGGAACAGAACAGAGACGATTCTCCGTAATGCATTCATTACCTTGAATGTCTTTGACATGCTGGACACACTAAAATAAGCGTGATTGTAGCTTCGGTGGAACAAAACACTTTTGCCTCATTATGGTCTCAACACAACTTATGCTGTAATACCATTTTCTCTTACAATTGCTCTTAAAATTCTCACATGAAAGGCCTTTCCCCTGTGCAATCAGACTTAAATTTACCTTTTATATATAAAAAAATCTGAACAATACCAGCAAAAATAATACATAGGAAAAAACAGATATTTGTTACATAAGGATTACAGAAAACTGTGATTATTTCAGTTATACTCATACTTATGTGTCCTAAATGAAAATGAAATGAAAGCATTCTTATAATTTGATTGACTTGGTAGATAAGAGTAACATGAAAGAAATATATTTCCATTATATAAGGACCTGTGTTCTTAACACTGCATTGGTTGCCACAAATGAGGTCTATGTTCCTGTAAAAGCTAATGTTATCCATTAGCAAATAATATGTTTAGAAATCATTAAAATGTATGTTTGTATTAATTTTAAAAAGACATATTCAAGCTAATATTATTCAAAACTGTTGTGTTACAAATAGTTGATGAATGTTGGTGAATATTTTTACCCATGGGAAAACGCACTGATCTTTCTCCACACTATATGATGTTGTCTTCTTCCAAGTGGTGAACTTCTTGCTACAGGAAGTTCTCTTTAGCATCACACCCAGTAGCTGATGGCTAATCTTGGTTGTCGACTTCCTGGATCCTGAATCAATCAAAAGAGGGTCTGTGCCTCTTCTATAAGAATTGTGTTATGTGAAAGACACACCCTAAATGTGAGCAACACCTACTCTACACATCCATATAAAGGAAATCCAAGGGAAAATATTTTTCCCTTTTGGCTTGCTTGCCTTTGGGTTTCCCCTCTAGTCTCACTGTCAACTTCACCTAGCATGTCACTGCTGTTGTCATAGCTGCCACTGTTATTCATCGTCATCTGATGCCATATTATTAGGCTATTTAAGGGGGACTGAAGAGCAGCACCAGACTTGGACTCCCTAGACATCCAGCCTCATGAAGTCAGCAGCAGCAAGGTTCTAAGCCTATCCAGTGTGGGAAAGCCATTGTTGGACTACTCAGATAATGTTGTGCAAGCCAATCTAATAAACACCATGTTTAATAATTCCCATCCTACCAGTTCTGATCCTGTAGGTGACCCTGACCAATACACAGGCCCACCTGTCCTTCTGGGCTTACAAGCACAGTTGTTGTTGTCCACTCTCTTGCAACCTCCCTTTGCCTTCTTCACTCGTGCTAGTGCCCTGCATGGGCCCACAAACTCAGGCCAGAGCTACTGCCTTCTGTCCAGGCTTCTCTAGCACTGAGCACGCTCTGTGGTGGACTTCTATGCTTTTCACTTTGCTTCTAAGCATACTAACACATGCAATACCTCCAGAGGCAGCCCTTGTCACACTGAAGTAGTTCACCTCCAGAGCAGCCCTTGTCACACTGAAGTAGTTCACCTCCAGAGCAGCCCTTGTCACACTGAAGTAGTTCCTTCCTAACTACTCTCTCAGATTGCACATATTGTTTCTATGTACACTCAGTGTTGTATATGGATTTGTTCACTTGCTTATTGTGTCTTCTCTGGACCCTGAGGATCCATAAGGACAAGTCTCCTGCAGGACTGCATGTGTCTCTTGGTTCTCTTTCCTCCTGTCAGTTTTTAATATCTGTCAGTTTGTGTATGCTATGAAATATCTGTTTAATTCTCTAATTACTAGAGGTATTTGATTGTGGGTAAGATAAATGAGTATCTTTTTATTGTGGTTTGTACACACCATGTATAAATCTAGCTGTAGAACAGTACCTGTGTCACAGAAATCATTCAATAGGTGACCATAGAATAAATGGGTAGAATGTGTGAAGACTTATCTCTCATATTGCACATTCAGTGAAAATGAAGATACAAACATCAGTACAAAAAAAAGTCAGGACAAAGTTTAGGCCTTGGGCTGCTAGCTCTAGCATCTCATTCAATGTCCAGAGTCTTTCAGGTATTCATGTTTATTCTTCCTTATTAAAAAGTCAGAAAATGTTGGGAACTTGATATAAGTACATTACATGATTTCTGAATCTATTATACCATCAGAAATCTGGTCTTGAAAATACATTTTAAAGAAATGTATTTAATTCAGAAAACACTATTTTTAAAAAGGTGCATATTCTTTAGTTACAAAAGCTTCTAAATTGTTTTATTACCATCCAGAACAGTGAAAAGATTGCCTTTGAACCATGTTGCTGGTGACGATCTTTCAGTGTGAAGGCAGGAAAGGGTATCTTTATAAATAGTTTTTTGTTTAGATTTTTTAAAATTTAAATTAGAAACAAGGTAGTTTCACATGTCAGTCCCAGCTCCCTCTCCCTCTCCTCCTCCCACACCCCTCTTAATATTCCCTGAGCCCCCCACCCAATCCCCACTCTGTTCCCCAGCGAGGGTGAGGCCCTCCACGGTGGATCTCCAGAGTCTGTCATTTCATTCAGGGCAGGGCCTAGGCCCTCCCCCAAGAGTCCAGATTGAGAGAGCACCATCAATGTAGAATGGGCACCCAAAGTCCATTTGTATGCCAGGGATAAATACTGATCTATTACCCAAGGTCCCATAGGTTGCCTAGGCCTCCTCACTAACACCCATATTCAGGGAGTCTGGATCAGTCTGGGGTCCAAGTAAATAGTTAATTTTAAAAATACAAAAGCTATTTGGGTTAGAAGCAATCATCCTCTTGCACTTATATTTTAGAATAGAATTTTAAGAAGCATTCACTAGATTAGAACCATTACACTGCAATTAATAAGAGATCAATTTATCATAAAATAACAACAATCCTACTGTTAAAAATCACATATTCGTGGCTGGTGAAATGTTTCAGTGGATAAATGAAGTTGCTGTCAAATGTAAGGACCTGAATCCAATACCCATAACCCACACAATGGAATGAGAGAATTGACTCCTGCAAACTGTTCTCTGACTTCCATATGTTCAGGGTGGTATGCATGCACACATCCATACCTCCCTTGCATAAAGGAACAAATGCAAGAAAAATAATCAAATTACATAGCTGCCCATTAGTGTTAACCATATATATATATAAAATACTTTTAAACTTGGAATTTTAGAAAAATATAGGCATTTATTCACAAAGTTTTCAAAAATAAAAGGAACCACAAAAATCTTTAAAATCAAACTAAGTCCCTCTTAGCTCTAGGCTCATGGGAGTTGTGTATTTACATACAGGATGGAATTCTTGCAGTAGGAGATTATCTTTATGACCCAATATTATGACTGTGGTTAAATAAAATTGTCATACCACTGACCTCCCATAACTTCCCTGAGAGGAAAGCTATAATTGTAAAATTATAATCAAGAAATCTATGTCATTATATGATAGTTTGATGGGGAAATAAAGAATACAGGTGGCCACCCTGCCATTCTTGACTATACAGGAACAGGCTGGATTCCACATCCCATGCCTCCACTTACCAGGGTTGGATAAGAGGCTTGTGATGTAACATCTGGCCCACATTCACACTGATGATCAAGGGAGAAGGTGGCAGCACATGTCCATGATCCAATTACATGGAAGACTGAGTCAGGAATATTCCTGGAACCCAGGCAGCCAAATTGACCCTGAAGAAACAAAGAAACCAACCACCTTTGGGAGAGCAATCAACAGAACCAGATTCTGCTCTAATCTACTCAAGGGTAGGGCTGGGGCTGGTGGTAGCCAGCCACGGCCTGATTTTGACACCCTCTTTGTTATTGTATGATGAAATCTTCTTGAAGCCGAAAGGCACTCCTGGGATTTAACAAATATTTTCATAATACTTCATAAAAGCACTAGATTGGAGATGCCAAAGTTAACTCTGTATCATCAATTTATGATAAAATTAATGTCTAAGGCAATTAGTACCAAGAACAATATTGAAGTCTAGTTTTTACATACTCGCTAGAGAAAACAGGGATGGAATGCATTTAAAAAAAACAGCTTAGCCGAAGCATTATCAAAGCAAAGTACAACAAGTTTCATTTTATATACAAAGCTAGTGCTTGCTAAGGGAATTCTAATTTTTCAAAAGAGCTTAAAAAGAAGTTACTCCATGCTTTACTTTCAAATATGTTCAACTGGTTCACTGTTGATAAATAGAGTGATAAATGAGAATGTGTATTAGAATTTCAGGAGGAAAAAAATAAACCCCCAAATTCAGCAAAATGGGTCATTATCTTTCTTTTGGCTAAAATTGTGTAATAGAGTACTTAAAACACATAATGAAACCAGAGTTTATATTTATGTATTACTGACCTCTATTTACATGAAACGATTATCATATCCAATCAAATAAAATACCTTAACATGCACGTATTGTTAAGTTATAACCAAAGGTCTGATAAATTGAATGCTCTATTTAGATAAGGTAGAACCATTACCACAGGCATAAGTCCCCCCAAAATAAAGTTACTTTTCACTATTGTGTTTATTTGTATCTTTGCTTCTGTTTCACTATGACATTCTGTCCTTAAGAAACTTATTGTAACCTTTTCCTCCAATCCAGTCATGAATTTCCTATGACATCATGACTCATTGATATGAGAAAAAGGATTAATTCCACTGTCATTTACATTATCAAACACAACCATCTATTGGTTATTTAACAGCTTATCAAGTTTTTTAATAATTCATATTCCACAAGAGCCAATCAAATAAGTAGGATGTCAGCATCATGAGCATGGAGATCATTGCCTGTGTTTTCAATAATATATTCAAACAAAAATTTCTCAATACATTTTAAGTATTTATTCATTAAATAAGAAGCAAAATATACCAAACCAACTACATTTCTTCCTCTTTGAAAATTCTGCTTCATTTAAATACATGAAACTTTAATTTAGTTTTCAAAAGTTTGTACTACTGTATTTTTATTTTCGTGAATTTCATATATTATACCATCATATAAAATATGGAAATTAATATTTTCAAAAATTCTCTTTCAAGTACCCAAATATTTTCTTTCAATGCTAACAGTCCTATGCAGTATGAGATATAATTTTTAATAAAGTTTTTGTATCTACAGAAGTAAAATGTTTTGCTCTAAATTATGTAGTGAAAAAATTAAGCAATCATATATTTGTCATCCTGTCTATTCTGCTTTCATGGATATGGAAATCATATAATACACCCTTACTGATCTATACTTATATATGTCATATATCCTTAGACCACAAGGTTATATAACCTAAAACAGTAAGAAGAAGACTAAGAGTATGGGAAATGACCTAAAGTCCAGACATTTCCATCTCCTCCCAGTTATTTATATTGTGGATGGGGACCTCTTCCTTGAGAAATTGGCCTCACTGTGAAAGATGGTTCAAAACTGGAGAACTGGTACTGATACTGCCAATCATCTGTTTCAGATCTTTCATTTCACCAATAAGAACACTGAATTCTTACAAGAGTATGATTGAGAGGCCATAAAATAGGCTTAAGAATCCAGATTTCTAAATAAAGTAATAGTGCGGTGTATTCTCCATTTTACGGGGGAGTCTTAAAAGCCTGAGAGGGTTGACTATAGGAACAAGAGTTCGTTTTGGAGAGATGCCAGCCTACATGAAAAAAAATGTACTGGGAAAGTATTTATTCTCATGCAAAAGCTGCCCACAGAGCACTTATCTGCCAGGTTTCTGGACATGTTATTATTGTTTATCACAATTTTACATTTCATATACATGCCATCTCTGTCACCCTTGCCTTATCTCTTTTCTTCTCTTAACAAGACTTCATTTCATTTCTCATGTATGAAAAGTTAATTTGTGCTGCAACAGCAGAACCTAAGCCCATTGCAAGAATAGCAGACGATATTTCAGCTATGGACCTGGAATCCACCAACTAGCTGGCTTTGCATGTTGCCAAAGAAAGAAGACTGAAGCCATGTATCAAGTCACCTTCTCCAGAAGCTTCTGCCACATGAGCCTGGGCATCAGGAAAACTCTCTCACACACCCCACATCAGCAGTGTCAAGCACAGCATAGGGCAAAAGATGAGGGGCTATGAGCAGCACACTAGCTTAAGAATAACTTCCCGGCGGGCGTTGGTGGCGCACGCCTTTAATCCCAGCACTTGGGAGGCAGAGGCAGGCGGATCTCTGTGAGTTCGAGGCCAGCCTGGTCTACAAGGGCTAGTTCCAGGACAGCCTCCAAAGCCACAGAGAAACCCTGTCTCGAAAAACCAAAAAAAAAAAAAAAAAAAAAAAAAAAAAAAGAATAACTTCCCTGCAAACAGGTGTTGAAAAATGAGTAACCAGCATTCCCTAGCAGACTGCAGGGGAAGGATATCATACCAATGCCCACAAAAGCTCACACAATAGATTAAAGTAGTTCCATTTGTGTCATCACTTGAAGACTTCCTCATCCAGGAAAGGTTGATGCAAGTGAGATTTGGGTGCATCAATCCACTTGCCTTCTCACATCTTTTCAGTCATGTGTCAAAACGATGGGGACTCAGGCCACACACAAAATCCCATCTTCCTAACACCACCCCACAAATGCCCAAAGGAACAATTTCAGCATTGTTACTGAGACTTGGGCTCAAAACTCTTTACCCAAAATAGACACCTCATACTCCTCGCAGAACTCTTTTTGGGTGGCTGTGAGTGTGTGGTTTCACACAACCTCAAAGATATTTCTAATTTTAAAAAAGTTGTTACAGTTTGGTTGAAAAGAATTTTCATTTGATCTGGGACAGGGCAGACTTCTGGGAAGTCTATGTGGTCTGTGTCAATCATAAAACATGCTGCAATTTTGTTCTAGACAGTTCGCATCTAGCTATGAGTTACAGTGATTTTCATTGGAGTTTCGCATTAAGGGTGTAACGTAGTCACAATACAAGCACAAACAATTTGACAAGGCATGTTTGCCTCTAAGTTTTAAATCTGTCTTGAGGATGTTATTTGCTAAGATGTTCATCAAATATTACTGAAGAAATAACTTTTGTGCTTAAAAATCTGTTCAGCAACTTAGAGACACTTTTGAAATATATTCTTAAAAGCTGGACATCATCTTATTTCAAGATTAAATGAATTTAAATGAAACCATCCACCCAAAACTTTTATGTGGATTCTATATTGATGCTACTGAATTAGTTCCTGTAGTTCATGTTCAGCTTTTTCAGGGAACAAGAAATTTATTTTACAGAGATTTTCTTCCAGGAACAATTGAGAGTTAATATGGTATTATTCTATATTTTCAGTTATATATTCATTTACCCAATAGTATTTTTTAAATTTAAATGTAATGTGTAATATTTGTAGTAAATTAGAAAAGCAAGTATAGGGACATAATACAATAACATGCAATAGTTCCTCATAGAGAATTAGTATTTACATTTTATTTCATATCCTTCTGATTTTTTGATGAATATTAATGCAACTACTATTTTGAGAAAACTGCAAAACTGCTTTGGGCATAATATTTTATAATTATTTTTAGTTGAATGATTCACTGTGAACAGTATCCTGTCATTAATTATCTGCAATGCAATGTCAATGCCAAAGCAATATTCCAAAATGGAAAGTAATATTCCATTATATGGAAATATACACTATGTCCAAATAATCTGACGTAAATTAGCATTAAACTGTCCCTTATATTTGTCCTTAATGATATTGCCATGAACTCCTTTGCATAAACACCTCTCTTTTTGATCTAGAAATGTTTTATGTGTTTAAATGGATATTTCTAGGTTAGTGGATATATTTAGTCTGCTTAATCTATCAAAATGTCCTACAAAAGGCTTTCACATTTATGAAATTGTCCTTTCCCCCTATTCTTTACCTATGTCAAACAATGAAATTATACTCTGTCTTCATTGTGCTATTTTGTTGGTGGGGAAAGAATGGAAAGGGTTCTTATTAAAAACTGACTGCTGCTCTGTGAGTGTTCTGCTCTTCTAATTACAGATGTCTATCGAGTCACACTTGCATTCTATCCTCCCAGACTGACTGGGATGCAACCCAATATTGCCACCTTCTCTTTATGCTGGATATAATTCTTACTGAGCCTCAAAGGGAAGGTCCTTAATGTTTTATAATGAAGTCACCTGGTTCTCCAGACTAAGATACTTCCTACCTCCAACCCCTGATTATTTCCACTGATTCAGTAAAAACGGGAAAGGACTCTATGAGTTCAGAATTGCACAGGAGAGCATATGTGGTCCATGGTCTGTCAAGTCCTACAAAACAAGAGAATGATTCTTTTGTGAAGTGCCAATCAAATTCCTAATAACTTTTACAAGGCTGTACTTTGGAAGTGGAACTTGTATTGATGGAGAAACCCTCTAACCACCCTAGAATTAATGCAATATCAAACTACCCTGCATCTGAGTTCTCTTTCCTGCTGGCATAGCATCATCTTAGATGGCAAGAAATGAAATTTGTGATTCATCCTTTAGTCACTATTAACTCAGTTCTATGCCCAAAGTTCTTTGTATGCATTTTATACATTCTAGACCTGTCTCGGTGGCTTTATGTCAGGCTATTGCTTTAGGTTTGATTATGGGCTCTTAAACTACATGCAAGGCCACCTAAAAGGCAAAGTAATTGGACTTGCTCCAGAAAATTGCATAATAAATAAAAGACACTGCAGCTCTTCTAGCTTCACCTTGATGCAATCTGTGGGGGGTATATGTTGG